AGCCAGGTATCCGTACCCTTATTTGATGTCTGCATGTCAGCATCCCTAAGATGATCTGCCCAGGCACTTCTGCCTCCTCCAGCAAATCATGATCACTTTGCCACCTAAAAACTTACCTTCCCGCGTGCTCTCATAATGCTTTCAGGGTTGCATCAGCCTGGGAAGCATAAGCAGATAAAAGGCTGGGCAGAGTATTAAGGAGCACCAGCACTAAACCCCCTCCAACCTATCTTGCAGCTCCTGCTGATGGGCCTCCCCTGGCCCCAGGGGATGTGGGTGAGCACCCAGCCCTGCCCTGGGCTCTCGGAGAGCAGGACTCGGGGAAAAGCTGCTGTTGTGCTACTAAAAGGCCCTTACACCACTGGGGACACGCGTAGCCGCTGTGCAGGGCAGATGGCAGGGCCAGCGTAATTTGCTCCCCACTGCCCAGCAGAGCCAGCTCCCCCTTGCTCCTCCTTCCTCCTGATGCCCAACACAGGAGCTGGCAGAGCTGCCGTTTGCAGTGAATACGCTCCCAAATCATTAGCATTTAATCCAGGTCAGCAGAGATAACGCTGGCATCTCATGAGCAAGACAAGGTCCTGCACATAAACACAGAGCCATAAGCCTGCCCCGAGCCTGCCAGCAGCTCGTAAGCCCCTGGAATATGTTTCTAGACCCTCAGCTACGAAGACATTTGCCCTTCAAGGTGGCCTTAGCCTACCAGAACCAAACTGCAGCAGATGCTTTTCTCTCATTGCGCTGGACACCCTGCCCCGTGCTACTACACTCAAAAAACCTCTCTGCACATCCCTCAAAAAAACCCCTGTGGCAACTGTGACTGGCTGCTAGTTATTTTCCTTGGCTTTTTTCACAGTCCAGGTGAGGCTATTCCGGGCTGCTCATTTATCCTCCACTAGCCAAAATGCACTCCTGTCTGAGGTCCACTTTGGTTCTTAAATAGGTCATTTTTGCACACACCTGAAACTTGCCTGCAGACAGGAGGTGACCAAAACCTGTTTGTACCCATTGCCCACCCCTCAGCCTTCTCCAGGATCTGGAACTGTCCTTCGAGTTACTGCTGTGGAAGTCAGCCAGCCTGTGGGACAGCCCACCGGCAAGGATGTACTGGAAAAAAACCCCTCAAACCCCTAAACTTTCCATATCTTAAAATTGAACAGAGTAAAACTCCAGCAGCAGCCAGGACGTGAACTGCACATTGCACTTCGCATGTGGCATTGAAAGCTAAAGATGCCTGACCACTGCCACAAGAAAAGTCCAGTTTCCTCAAAGGACTACTCAGTTTCCCACTGGTTTGGTGCGGAAAAGTACAGAGGAGCAAAGGGCTGAAAATACTCTTTATTCCTGTTCATCTTTCTCTGTGCCCAGAAGGCTAATAGAATAATAATAATAGCCCAGCCACATGTCACTGGACACATCTTACACTACTACTTCTCTCAGTCTTCTCTTGTGGCGTCCTTTCTGCCCCTTTCCATGATTTTAAGTTTTTGCAGGTACTTTACAGCCAACTCTTTTGTACCACATTTCAGTGTTCCCGCGGACTCTGGCAACGGCTGGGTTGTACGCCTTGGCTTTGGGTGGGATTCTTTCAAGCATCTCCCAGCTCCATGAATTAAAGGAGTTAGTGCTTTAGCCCGTTCGTTTAACCATTACCCCATCAATTAACGCTGCCTGGGCTTTGCTACTTTTAAATTGCTCTCTCCTATTCGCCTTCTGGCTTGGTCTCCTGTTTCACCAGCTTCAGTCCCAAACCACGTGTCACTCTCTATATCCTGAGCAAGGGTGCACATTTAAACCAGGCCTGAAAATACCTCCCATCAGAAAACATTGTGGGATGTGTCATTTGAGAAGGGTGCTCCACCCTGCAGAAACCGGAGCGTGCTGCCTTCTGCAAGAGAGGAGCCATTGCCCTTCAGGAGCTCAGGGGCAGGGCAGGAGGAAGGCAGCGAGCCGTAATGATAAATCCATTTCCACCCCCCCTCCACCCTTCATACGTGTGTCCCAACTGCTGTGTATACGCAACGCCCTGCCAGTCCCCAGGCAGGGGCAGCAGCAATTTTATTTTAATGCTTTAACAAGGCCCACGGCAACAGGGGGCTGGCAGTGACCCCTAAAACGCTGACATTGCTGCCCAAGCAGTGAAGCTGGAAGTTGAGCCTGCTCTGCTGTTCTAACTATGAGGTGCCTTGTCCCTTCCTCCATCCCTCCAGTATGGTTTTACGGCTTCCCAAAGTAAATAAGGATACACGCACCTCACCTCTACCTAATCTTTTGAACCTTTTAATGGGTGCTCACCTCTTGACAATCCCTCCGTCCTGGCTTACCAGCAGCGCTGCTGCTGCAAGCACTGGGAGAGCCCAGCCTGCTGGGACGGGGCCGAGCACCTCTCCTCTGGAGTAAGGCTGCTAAAATCCACTCAAGCTCTTCCAGCCTGTGGGCTCCACGCCAGACCCAGGGTGACAGCTCCTGTGGGGCTCAGGGGTTGTCCCTGTGTTCCTAGCCTAGACAGGCGGCTACACTGCACCCCACTCCACCCCACATAACCTCCCGCAGCGTGGGCTCTGCCCCAGGTGCAGCGCGAAGGCTGCTCTCCCTCTCTACCTGCTATTTTCTTTAGCTTTGCACGTAGCTTCTGGCACCAACAAGGAAATCTGTCGTCTCCTCCTCCTCCCCAACCTTTTTCCCAATTACGAAGTATGTCCTGCTCTCCCCCCTTTTTGGAGGAATGCCATTATTTTCCTGGAAGGAGGCTGCCCTGGGGCCTGATGGGCCCCATGCCTGCATTGCTGCCTTGCTAGCGGCCTCCTCCCTGGCATCCTGCGCCTTCCTCCTCGGGGCCTTGCAGGTAGCAGCCCTGCACTGAGCTTGCTTGAACTTGAGCTTCAGCTTGAACTTGTCTGGGCATCACCTTCACCCCTCCTTCCTCTGCTGTCAGCACCATGACAGTGGAAGCAGTCAATGCTGCTTGGCTTTGACCTGCCCCAGAGGTAACTCGTCCCCCTCATCGGCCTTTTCCCCCACGGGAGCGCTTCCTCTGCCTGGTTCCCACACTGGCTAAAGCAGCCACAGAAGATGAAGCTTCCCTACCACCCTTAGTTGTTGGACTCATCTCAGCCACTGAATCATTGGGCCACGACTCTCTGCTACGGATCCAGACAAAACGGCTCTGACCTAGAGAAGCTCAGGCTTAAAAGCCGTCTATGCCAAGTCAAATTTTTGCTTGAGCCCCTTCCCAGATCAAGGCAGCAACCAAGGATGAGCACCCTCTTCCCGATCATCTCAGTCAAATCCTTGCATCTTCCGTCTCCTTGTCAGTAAACGTATTTGTGGCCAACTGCGGAGTCCCCAGTCCTTGCCCACCTCTGTTCCACAAATCTGCTATACTATGCTGAACTGAGCCAAGCTGTGCTCACTTAAGCAAAGCAACATCATTTTAGTACTACTTTGGAAGTCCTCCTTCCAACTAGAAGGGTGCAGATTCAGGATACTTCGTCTTTAGGATCAACAAGTTACCTGCCATGTACATTCAGGAAGTTCTGGGAATCTTCTGTCACTGGATACTTCTCACTTCCTAGTGACTTTCTTTAAACACTTCTTACTTATATAGCTACCAACATCACTACTTCTAAAATGTAACCACACTGGTAGGACTTCACTTCTCCAAAAAAGCAAAGAGACGCTGCTCTCAAGTTATGTACCTGAAGGAAAGCTTAGAAATCAAATGCTCTGTTGAATATAATATATTTATGGAAGAACTTAAGTTTGGAAACATGTGAGTATTCCTTCTCCCCATTTACGCGATCCCTTTGTTGTCACACTCCTCCAAGACAGTTCTCAGATCCGCAGTTCACTAACAAACGCTGCTATTTATTTCTAATTCCCTCTTATCTTTAATTCAACTTTTTTTTTTTTTTTTAAACACCCATTTGTATCTCTGGTTTTATCCATCCCTTAATAATGCCTTTTTTCTATTAGTCTGTACCTTTCAAAAATTCTTACAATAAATGCCACGTCTTTAGCCATTTTCATCCTTTTACACTTTCACCTTTAATTTGCCTGCTACAATAACTTGTAGCCACAAGCAAATCAGAATCACTTGCAGTATGGCTCAGCTGTGGAGCTCGAGGACGCCAAGACTGAGGTTCCTTGGAAAGCGAGTTAGCCCCCCGCCCGTTCAGCTTGGGACTCCGGCCTCCCCCTGCCCCACCCAACTCCTAACGCCTGGACGTATCCAGAGATTACAAATGCTTCACTTGCATCATGCGCTTTGGAATTTAAGAAGCGGAAGCGCTTCGTAATAACTACAATTGATAAAATATTAACTTGTGCTTTTTTAATAAAATGAAACAAAAGCATTCTAAATCATAGCAGCTTATAGATCAAAATGTCCATCGGTTAGGAGCATAGTGTGATTATGAAGTATGAAAACTGCAAAATACTAAAGCCCTGCAGCAATTCAAGTCCATGACAAAAACTTCAAGAAGAGTGAGCAATACTGCCTGATGCTCCACTGACTTGGTCTACTTGTTCGTTGGCGAAATACGAATTTTCCTCCTCGGTAATGGCATATCCTCTTTTCCAAAGGGGAGGAAAGGTACAAAGCCCTTTTGATTAGCGCACAGTAGCTCTTTCCC